CCCTAAAACCCTAAAGCCCTAAACCCTAAACACAAAACCCCTAAACCCTCACCCCTAAACCCTAAATCCCTAAACCCCTCTACCCTAAACCTTAAACCCTAAACCCCTAAATCCTAAACCCTAAACCCATAATCCTAAACCCTAAACCCTAAACCCTAAACCCATAACCCTAAACCCTAAACCCGAAACCCGAAACCCTAAACCCTAAACCCTAAACCCATCGGGAGGCCTCGGGACCAAGGTGGCCTTGAGCTCGCCGCGGAGCAGCTAGGCCTCGCCTTCAAGGCGGGTTTTAGGGGGGTTCCTTTAAAAGGCTTCTTTTCAGGCTTCTTTTAAGGGTTTAGGGGTTTTAGGGGTTTAGGGTTTTGGGGGTTGGGGGGTTTAGGGGTCTAGGGTGTAGCAAGTTAGTAGTAAGGGCTTAGGGTTTAGGGTTCAGGGCCTGGCTGCAAGAGAAGCGCAGGGGTTTTTGTAAAGAGCAACATCTGGGCAGTGCTCTAAAGTACGGTCCGTTTCGGAAATTTCGGGGATGAGGGTGCCGTACTGCTCTGGACCTAAAAAGGGACCCTAATTTAGAGAACTGCACATACAACGCATAGGCATGCATGCGTATATACATGTGTGCATAAGCATAGTATATTTACAGTACAATGTATCATGACAAAAACATAGTATGTTATAGCAGTAGGTTGTTATAAACCATATATCACAACATGATGCAACATAACATGGATAACGACTCTCAGGTTCTATAAGATGAGATACTACGCTTAATTGCACAATATCATACCATAATATGCGCAAAGTATACTGAAATATGTTGAAGATAATCTAACGTGCTATAGCAACAACCAATGTGGGACAAGATGATAAATCCGGGAATACAGAATAGCATGAACATATCATGCTATAACTTGTTTTTACATAACATCATGCAGCATAATAATACAATTTGCTTTCACATACGTGTACATAGCATATGTGTACTGTGGTACATCTCTCTCTGTATATACACATGCCTATCTGTATATATATATATGTACACACGTAATCGTGTTTCTTATTGCGTCAGTAGTTGCATGTCATATTGCAGGTTTGTTGTTTGATGTAGCGTCTTTCTTCTCTCCTGTCTTTGTAGCAATGAGCTCTCTCGCTCTCTCTCTCTCTCTCTCTCTGTTTCTTTTCTCCTTCATTTATAGCAAGCAGCCCTCCCGCTCTCTCTCTCTCTCTCGCTCTCTCCGTATACGTTTCGCTGCTTGTGAGACTGTGTATGTGAGTGTGTGTGTGTCTGTGTATCTGTATATATGTGTGTGTGTGTGTGTTTGTGTTTTGCTTTTTGTGGCCACTTCGGTACCTTCTCGTTTAAGAGCTGTAGCAAAACCCTTAAGCCTAAGCCCTAAATCCTAAACCCTAAACCCTAAACCCTAAAAAAAAACAAAAACCCTAAATCCTGAAGTAGTTGCCGTGTAATACTTTCTTTTCAGTGCAGCTCCCCTTGGGGTGAGCATCCTGCAGAAAAGGGGGCGCCCATTGTGGTTTAGGGTTTAGGGTTTAGGGTTTTAGGGTTTTAGGGTTTCAGGGTTCAGGGCTTAGGGTTTAGGGTTCAGGGTTTAGGGTTTTAGGGTTTAGGGTTTAGGGGAAGAACCCTAGATCCTAAACCACAGGGCATCTTGTGCTTTCAGTGGTGTTTCCAACTTTTGGGGGTGCTTGACGATGTATGGGTTTCTGATGGTTTGTCTGCGCGGTGTTTGTCATCGTCTACAAAGAACCAGCCCGAATCTCCACAGCCTATGACCGCAAACGCCAAACTCCCAAATCTTAAACCCCTAAGACCTAATCTAGGGGCCTAAATACTCACCAGTACTGTTTTGGGGGGTTTCTTATTTTCTTCATAGTACAGTGGACCCCCAAACCCGAATCTAGTTCTTAAGGCCACTACTGTAACACTAATGTAGGGGCCTTAATAATTAGAATAGGGTTTTGGGCCCCTTTATACTCGAATTAAGTATTTGTTTAGGCTTCTATACCCTAAACCCTAAACCCTACGTTAACACTACATCTAAAATATCCCTGGATAGCTCTTCTACTCAAGCCACACATTGCAGAGGCAGCAGATTTCTCGAAGTTCGACGACGTGGCTGTGGCCAGAAACTTCGCTCTGCTTCAGGACCCGGGTTGGTATTTGGGGTTTTGGGGTTTAGGGTTTGGGGTTTAGCGTTTAGGGTTTAGGGGTGTAGGGTTCAGAGTTTGGGGTTTAGGGTTGAGGGTTTAGGGGTTTAGGGTTTAGAGTTTGGGGTTTGGGGCATAGGGTTTTGTAGGGGCTGTCACTTCAGTTAATAGGCTCCTGCAACTTCCACAAGGGTTCCTTCCAAGGCGGTACTATGAGTCTCTAGAAGGCTTGCCTTTGGGGCATTCTACGTGTGGAGGCGTCGGGGGTGAACCGCTCGGGGTGTAGGGATTTAGGTGGCTACCCACAAAGCCGCAAGCTGAAGCCCCAGTAAAACACCCTGCGCCCTCAACCCTGAACCCTGAACCCTAAACCCTAAACCCTATTCCCTAAAACCCTAAACCCTAAACCCTAAACCCCACACCCTAATCCCTAA